AAGCTTGCTTAGCAAAGAACCAACAAAAGCCCTGGGCCAGTCACCAGCTCTGTGTACAGCAGGTGGAGCCTGTCCTGCCCTAATCCTGGCAGGGTTATCAGCCACCTGTCCTGACAACTGCAAGCAAAACTCCCTGGGATAAGAATCCAACTACACTGGAGGCCTATGCTTGCTTCCGGGAGCTTGGTGGCACTCTTCTGTAGCAGCTGTCTCTCAGCTTACAACATGAGCCTACTTCTTGTCCACAGCAATTAACCAGTGGATGGTCATGAAAGTCAATCCATACGTAAATAAATGTATGCCATTGCCTTCTCTGTCTTCTAGGCCAAAAAAAACCTAAAAGCCATGATTTTTTTCCTCTCTCATAAGGTATTCATTTTAAACATCAATCTTAAAGCCTAGGCTCATTTCTGTGCTCACTGACTATAATCCAAACACTAGGGAAGCCAAAGACAGGATCACCATGAGTTCAAGGTCAACCTGAACTAAAAGATGACTATATTAAAAAAAGGGGGAGTCAGGTATGATACTCACAGCTTTCAGCTCTTGCCAGGTAGGCTGAGGTAGGAGAAATGCTGAGATTTCAAGACTAATAGTGGATACCAGATTAACCAGAGGTATGCAAGAGCCATTTAAAAATAAACAAAACAAAGCAAAACAAAACAAAAACCCTGGATGGTGGCTCACACCTTTGATCCCAGCATTTGGGATTAAAGAAGCAGGAGGATCTCTGAGAGTTCAAGGACAGCCTAGTCTACAAAGTCCAGGAAAGCCATAACTACTCAGAGAAACCCTGTCTTGAAAACCAAAACCAAACAAACAAAACAAGAAAAAAAGAAATGGAGACTCATTGATTGGTCCACTTCAGTTCCTGTCTCTCCCATACCTTTCCTTTGCTGAGTGGCCAAGGACTCCACACATCCACTGGGATGGGAAGTGAGTCACTTTTGCACAAGGAGCTCCTTCCCTCCTGCCAGCCCCGAGGACAATCAGGGTCTGAGCTACTAACAACTCTGTCTTCCTGGCAGACATATGGCTATGTGGGAGCTGCTATATACTTTGTCTTTCCTCCTCAACTCCATTTTGAAACTCCTAGAAGACAGCAAGCATTCCTCATCTTCTGTGCTTTGCTTCAAATATGACTTTTGACTTACATCTGTGGACACGTGAATGTGGAACACAGAGGAGTCATATTTTATAACTAAAGCCATGCACAATGGGCGAGTTAATCAAAATCAGTTCATCTTAGCAGCATCTATCTCTCACCACATTTGGTTCATCAAATACCAAACTGCTACTGTTAAAAACCCAGGCTCTAAAGTAAGAGTCACCTTAAGTTTCTCTATATGTGCAGAGTCTGATTAACATTACTATAGACAGAAGAAGTCAATTGGCTTCTCAATCCAGGGTCAGAAATTGTGTGGACCATTAACTATTATATGTCACTATCATACTAAGAGCTTTACAGTTTTAGTCAGTGTTCACAACAACATTTTAAGTAGGAGTTATTGCTCCATTTCACAGATAAGGAAACTAAGGCCCAGAAAGCTTAAGTAACTTCCCAAGGTAGCTCCCAATGGCAGTATCACGATTTAAATGACGATTTGTCTGAACTTACTTCCACACCCTTCTAGTTAATCTCATATATTATTACTTATTTGATTATGTTTCCAATTTTCAGACAGCCTTACTGAGAAGCTCATGCTTTCCAGAAATGCCCATCCTCTGACTTCAGCCTAAGCTGGGACTAGAGGTACACGCCACCATACCTGGCATTAATGTGGACTCACATGAGACAACTTCAAGATGACTCCCTTTCCTACAAAAGTATTGAGAAGCCCAAACTTTTTTTTTTCCATTTTTCTTTTTTTTTTTGAGAGAGAGAGTCTCACTGTGTAGCCCTGGCTGTCCTGGAACTTACTGTGTAGGCCAACTGGCCTCCAATTCACAGAGATCTGCCTGCTTCGACCCCCTGAGTGCTGGGTTCAAAAGCATGCAGCATCATAGGAGACTACAAAACAGGTATTTTAAAGCAAGCCACTTTTCAGCTCACCATCCTATCTGCAGAAGCGCCAGAAGGAAGGACTGAAGAATACATGTCTTCACATTGGCTCTGCAAGACTTCACTTTGATGCTTTCTTCAATCTGCTTTTCCATTCCTCACCCAATTTCAGTTCAGACTTTACCTCTTCCACTGCTCTCATCCCATTGTCTCTAAAGTCAGAATACAGCCAGGATCTGACCACTGTGTACCATTCCCCCACCGTTCTAAATAAACCTCTAGGGGTTCGTTGTTTCATCTCTACCTGATACAGTTCAACCTCAGCTAACCAATGTGTGTCCCTTTAAAGGGTTCAATGAGCCAGGGTGGCGATGGTCCACTCTTTGAATCCCAACACTTGAGGCAGGCATATCTCTGAGTTGGAGGCTAGCCTGGTCTACAAAGTGAGTTACACGACAAACAGAGAAACCTTGTCTCAATTGAACAAAACAGAACAAGGGAAGGGGAGGGAAGGGTTCCAATGAGGAAACATCAGCCCCACCAGAGGCCATATCTCTTCCTACTCTGTCTACTCCCACTCTGCTTTTCCTGTAGGGCCCATCCTTGTCTCCAGCATGGTAAATGCCTGTTCCCTTGGCTTTAGGTCCCTTTATACCAAGGGACATTTTCATGCCACATCCCTGCACTCTTCCCTTTGTGTCTTTGCTTAAAAGTCACAGCCCAGTTAAGTGTCTCAGCCAATATACCCAGTTTGCAATCTACAGATTCCAAGACTTCCATTCTTCCTCATCTTGACCCCCTCTTTGTTTATAGCCACTATGGCCTAATATGTTACATAAAGTACCATATCCACTGTACTTACAGTATTTCCTCAGTAGAATGGAGGCGCTAAGACATGTCTGTTTTGTTCACTGCTGTTATTCTTAGCACTATACAGTGGAGGACAGTGTGCTCTCAGAAACACTTCCTGAATCACTCTTTTAAATGACTGGGAGGGTGGGGGGTGGTGGTAAATCCTGATATTTATTTACCCTAAGGCTGTGAGTCCTTGAGTCTTGATCAACCCTGGGGGCACTTAGTTTAAAAGGGCTTGGGAAACCAGGAAATGAGAGTCACTAGTGAGAGGATAATTTCAGGTAAATTCTGTTTTCATCAATTCGCTCTGCCTCCTGGGGACAGAACTGAGAAGAAAGCTGAAATTATAAATCCGTTGCAATAATTCAGGAAGGGATGATGGAAGCTTGAGGCAAGTTGTCACACAAGAGTGACAGACACAGTGACTGGTTGGATACAGTGGGAATGAGACTAAGTTTCAGGACTCCATGACTGCAGATGCAGTGCGACAGTACTGGAAGCCAGCACCCCCAAGGGCCCGTCTGCACGTGGAGTCTAAGTTAAGTCTTCTCCACTTAGATAACATTTACATTCCTCCTATGCCTACAGATAACCTAAGTGATTAAGATACAAGCTTGCTCGGATACAAAGAAGTGTATTAGAGACAAAAGGGGGAACTTCTAAGATCCCTGCTTCTGTTCCCGTTTATCAGTGGGCTGAGATGGACTTTGAGCAGGGAGAGTCCCTTCTAAGGAAAGGGCAGGAATGCTGCCTCGAGGGTTAAAAGTTTCAAGTCAACTGTTGACCACGAGATAAAGACCAACCAAGATTCCTGAAGACTTAATGACTGGAATTCATTTCACTGCAACACTTCCAAACTAGGCAATTTTAGGTACAGAGACAAAAGATCTCCCGCCCCCAATAGTTCAATCAATTTAGTTAAAACAACAGTACAATCCATTTCCTCCATTATTTGAATCTCGGTGTCATACCTTACCTGGAAAGTTCTCTCGATTGAGCTTAGGCCGACGGATGATCACGAAGTCTTTTTCACTCCCTTTGCTCTTTAGTCGTTTCCTTGGAGGGCTCTGGGGGTGGACGAGGTTTGAGAGTAGTCCATGTGGGATGTTCTCACTGTCCACCTCTTCCTTCTCCAAGGCAGAGACACCCATGCCTGATAGCAGTTCAGAAGTCTTGCTGGAATCCCATCCCCACGTGAAGCTGGTGGTGACGTTGCTACTCTGGTCCGGAATCTCCTGAAGGTGCTTCCTGCAGAAGGGCACACATTCCCTAGTCCTTTTGAAAGCACACCCCTAAATAATTCCAAGGTAGGAATGAAAGAAGAGTCAAGGATGCAGTGTAGGAAAGTCACAGCAAGTAACAGTACTGCATTTTTAACGTGCCTACAGCGAGAGAAATCCAAGAATGAAAGAGAAAATCGGAAACAAATATACTTCGAAAGGCTCTGGGATTTATGGTCACGCAGAAGGCCTCAATAATTTCTTCCCGTGGAGGGAAAAAGAGGGATGGCACTCATACCGTGATTCAAAGTAGTGGAAGGAAACCTAATTAGGAAGCCAAAGTAAAACGCACACTGGTATTGGCACTAAAGTATTCATCCATCCATTTTCTTACAAAAAGGAACTAAGCAATCATTCACATAACAAGATTAATTGAGCAAGAAGCAACATTCGCGGCCTAAAAGAACTCAAACGGTTCATTCATGCTTTGCCCGGGTTTTTTTTTTTTTTTTTGCCATCGGTTTACCTATGCATGGCGTCCACTGATTCAGGAGTTTTGAATGCTTGAATTAATTGAAGAGATGCCTGTCTTCCAGACTCCCGTTCTAGCGCTCTGCTTAAGAGTGATCCCCGGGGGCCCAGCAGCCGGACCCGCGAACTAGCAACGTTCCATCACTACCGCGCGCGCGGAGTTCTGCATCCCGCTCTCCAGCAGCCGCCTTCTGACGCCCCGTTGCCTGCTGGGAATTGCAGTTCCGGGCCTAGCTCGTAGTCCGACTCGCTCTCTCCTTATTTCCTCCACTCTTATTTTGGACAAACCCTGCAGATACCCACAACTCCCCGCGGCGCAGGGCGGGATTGAAGAAGGAGGAGGGCCTGCAGGCGGAAGTGGGTGGAGCTCCGACTGACTGGGAAATGTCAGCCGATTGACTGGGAGCGGGGTTTCCTCTTCCCGGTGCCCACAGGCCTTGGGGTGACCACAGCCACGGTCGCCTGGGACTGAAGGATCCCTGAACCCGGCAGGCTGCGGCGGACGTGAAAGCTTCTGAGTCCCTTCCAGACGCTGTCTGGCGAGGTCCGACGGTGAGCGTGAGGGGGGCGGGGACGCGCGAGGTGCGTCAGGGTCTGGGGTCCCGGCCCAGCCTGGCGGAGATGGACTCGGGGGAGCTTCAGATCCATAGTGGGCGCCGTCGCCGGGCTCATCACCTCGGTCTCGGTCGCCCGCCAGGTGAGAGGCTGTGGGTGGCACGCCTGCCATCCGGCCATTCGCCTTCCTCCACCTGGCAGTGGGCGGCCCTTAGGACTGGGTCTGTGGACGCGATCCCTGCCTCACTTATAAAATAGGCTTGAGGACGACGCACACCCCACGGGTTTGGACTGAAGATCCAATCAGACAGCGTGCGAGGAGCCTTTTTTAAGCTAAAGCGCAGTTCCAGGAGAAGCGGTGGTTTATTTTTTAAGGCAGCGGGAGCCAGCTGTGGTTCCCGCGTGTCTCCTCTTGGGTCCTTGATGGGTCTCTCAAATGCAAAAGGAAAAAGTGAGACTCTGCTTGCAAGGAGAGACCACCTTGAAAGCTGTGGAGGTGCCTCTCATTCAACCCACAGCCTGTCTTTGAATCTCTACCTAAAACCGATGCTAATTTAGCCTCCGAAGAGGTCGGGGGCGATTAGATTAGAATGACCATGCAAAATTCAGGTGTGCAAATTGTACAAAAATTGTGACTTAGGGGCAACAGGGGAGAGGGTAGGGGGATGCATTTCAAGTCCAATAAAGATGAGGATTTATAGAGTTAAGAACAATGCAAATGTTTTTTCATCAAAAACATTAGAATATTGGTTAGTATGTTAGATTGTATACCCCTGTGTTTCTTTGTGGGGCGAGCAAGATTCGTTTTATAATGAATTAAATCTTTCATGCTCAGTTATGTCTCTGTTTCTGGCATAATCTTTGCATCAGTTATTTCTTGACAGGAAGAAATTCATGAACCCTTAGTTCCTGAAAGTGAGATTGGTGTAAGAAAAAAAAAAAAGACCTGTTTGCAAATTGGTTTTAACAGCTGGGCAGTGGTGGCACATGCCTTTAATCCCAGCACTTGAGAGGCAGAGGTAGGCGGATTTCTGAGTTCGAGGCCAGCCTGGTCTACAGAGTGAGTTCCAAGACAGCCAGGACTACACAGAGAAACCTTGTCTCAAAAACAAAAACGCAAATTGGTTTTAATTGAAAAGAAGCAAGACTACAAGAATAAGTATTTAGTTTTGTTACGGAAAGTATCTTAAAATGAGACCTTCTGAAATAGTATATAAAATTATCTTTTGTTATTTAAAAAGCTCATTTGCTTTCTCTTGAACTTTGTCCTTTCTGTTAGGATGTAACTCATTCAAGAGAAATTGTTAGTAAAAAACATAAAATAAAACCTTGTTTAGTCCTGAATTTAGCTAAGAGTTACCAGTGAACACAGGGTATTTAAATTAGCAGGCACGAGGTTCTCTCTAGGAAAGGAAAGCCTATCAACTTTGAAATTAGGAGCGTCTTCATTTGCCTTGATAATGAAACTATTTTTTCTTTTGCATTTCTTCTAATTACAGCTGTTTCCTTCATATACTGAAAAGGTTTATACTGGCACATGTGATTCTTTTTGATAGAGGAATTGTGTCCATTGAAGATTTGAGGTTATTAGCTATATAGAAACGCCCCATAGAGACTTTAAGATGTTGTGATTGCTGCTAATGTAAAATACTTTATTTCCTGATTAATCTTATTTAATCTTACTTAGCACATATTGTGTTTCATTTTAGTAAGTCTTTTAAAACGTAATTTTAGGATTAGAATTAATCTGAGTCCAGTGTAAAAAGAAATCATTTTATATAACTGAAAAGATCATTAGGTTGAATAATATCTAATGTTCTTTGGAAGCTTCAGATAAAATACAAAGTGACATTATAAATTGTGAAAGGAGATATTTGGAAAAGGCAATAAGTAGTGTCATTTTCATAACTAAAAACGTATCGTAGTTACAAGGCAATCAATGTTTTCAGGGCCTCAGTCTAGAAAAGGAGTGGCCATCGTAACTGACATATATGGTATATGCATATATGCATACATGTGTACTGTTGGTCCCAGTTTTGAAAATCAAATACAACTGGAGAAATACAATGAAGCATAAAGGCAACATTATATCATAGAGAGATTTAGAGATTCCTTTTACTTCTTCTGTTATTTAGCTTAAAGGAATGAAATGCTAGAGACAGTTATAGCAAACATGTTTCCAGTTGCCTGTCAAATTCCATAACTATCTCCTTTTCTGCCTCAATTTGAAAGTTATCTTCAGTTTTCTTTGATAATGATCTGTGATGGAGAGATTAGATCAATAATAAAAATGTTCTTATTTATTCTAGCTTACTTTGTGGTTCTCCCATGAAAATTAGAAAAAAAATTACTGTAATCTAAATGAAATAATTATCCACAAAGTAAAAATTTAAATTCTATATTAAACATGACTTTTTAAGCATTGTGTCTTGATTCATCTTGAAGAATAATAAAATATTTTAAAATTATTCTTTATGAAAATGGAACCATAGAAATTATTTAAAACAAATTGTATTTAAAAACGATGTCTGGATTGGAGAGGAGACATGAAATTGAAATTTGTTCTCTGTGGTCAGGATACCTTAGTTTGGATCTGTTTTGCCACATACTGGTGTGAGAACTTGGGTAAATTACACATCCACTCTGCCATTTTCTCCTTTATTAAGCAAAAATTCTAACAATCTTTTCTCATTAGATTGTGGGAACTAACTTAACAAAACAGTAATGTACAGTGTATCCTAAAAATACGTTAAGTCTTCAAGTTCTTTAGTAAAAACAATATTTTGTGAGAATGGAGTCTCTGGATACCAAAGTTACAGTTCCTACAACTGAAATCCTCAAGGGCTTGCTGAAAGTTTAGAGTTCTCCTTACCCACTGACCTGGTTGCCAACTTCAGCCCTTCAAGCCTTGCCAAAGATGATGAATCATCTGCTCCTGCCTCTTGCCACATTTAGGAATCCTAGTCACCTCACCGGGTTTGTCAGTTCCAAAACAAAAACAAAACCATTCTGACTTTCATCATTTGTAAAGTGAAATAGTCTCTTGTCCTATGGTCTTAACTAAAATTCTAGCTATGAAATCTTTAACCATAGGAACAATGAGTATATTTAAGGCATTTCTTACTAGATTGGGGAATTGATTTCTTTTACTTTTATCATCCACTTCTTGTTCTGTTCATTTTAATTCTTTGTAGGCTTTTGAGTTACCTAACTTTCATTATGTCACATAGATGAGTTAAAATACTTACATTAATACTGCAACTAGAGTGTGGCTCAATAGCAGACAGTTTGTATTCGGCATCTAAAGGCCCTGAATAAAAAAAAATTAAAACCAACTCTGATAAATCCTTAGATGTTGATGGCCAAATTTCTTACTGGTTTCAGAATTTGAGGGGTTAATAAATTTTTGTCAGTTTTGTTTTTGTTTGTTTTGTTTGTATTTTCATCAGTTGCTTCTTTGTCTTGCTCTTTTTTTTTTTCTTTTGCTTAAGCTCCTTCTCTCTCCTGCCCTCTCTGTTTTTGAACATTTGGAATTCCTCAAATTCCAAAATTATCTTAACCTTTAAATTGTTTTTCAGAGTGAGTTTAGCATGTAAAACTTTTAACAGCCACAACATACATAGAAGACAGTACACTTGAACTATTAATTTTAGCAAGATGATTATAAAGGTATTTGAAAATAATAACTAATAGTATCTTGATCATTGGAAAAAGATGGAGTTGGGTTTTAAATATTTAAGGCTTTTGGACCTGATGTTTTAAAGGGTACAGTCTGACTGCATGTACACTAAAGTTTGATCAGTTAAGTTGATTGTCATTTGATTTTGAGTAAAATCAACTATACTACTATGGTATTAATGCCAACCCATGAAAACTGGGATGCTTCCAAATACTAATTATCATCTCCCTAAACCTACTATTATTTTAATGTTTGAAAAATATGTCAACCTCTGTTGTGATCAAAGGCACATTTTTCCTTTGGCTCTTAAAATCTTTTGCAGAGTTACATACACATAGTTACAGTTCAGCAAGTGTTCTATAGTAATTAACCCATTCTGATTATTGTGCTTAGTTTCTTTCTTGCCAGCAAACAGATGAACTGTTTAACTACCTTGCAAACTGAAGGAAACACTGCTAATTTGTTGCAGGGGAGCAGTAATTTTTGTGAGTCTAGCTCATTTCTTAGAAAGGGACAAGGATGCGCTTTGGGAGTTGTGGTATCACCACAGATATTGAGAAGTAAAATGTAGTTGCTTTCCTTTCACACACACACACACACACACACAGAGAGAGAGAGAGAGAGAGAGAGAGAGAGAATCTTTTTTGAGGAAAGCTGATTATTGAGGGTAAAACCAATACCTTGAGACCATTGGAACAAGTAAGTATTTCCTAGAAGACACCGGTAAGCCACTAGTACATTATATTAGGGTTTCACTGCTGTGAAGAGACACTATGACCAAGGCAACTCTTATAAGAGAAAACATTTACCTGGGGCTGGCTTACAGTGACAGAGGTTTAGTTCATTATCATCATGGCAGGAAGCGTGACATTTTGCAGACATGGTGTTGGAGAAAGAGCTGAAAGAGTTATATATGTTGATCCAAAGGCAGCCAGAAGACGACTGTCTTCTGTAGACAGCCAGGAGACTGGACTTCTCCACTGGGCAGAGCTTAACCATAGAAGACCTCAAAGATCACCCCCACAAGACATACTTCATCCAACAAGGCCACGTTCTATAGGCCAGCATTCAAACACATGAGTCTATGGTGGCCAAACCTATTCAAACCACCATACATGTATTCAGTACCTGCTTTATGTCTAGAACTTCTCCATAGTATTTTATATATGATTTGCTTGTTATAGCCACAGGTGTAAGGTGCTTCTCATTTAACAGCTTACATTGCATAAAGTTATACAGTTGTTGGAGTTACGGTCTTAAGACCAGGTTTGCCAAGATATATAATATAATAAAACATGCATTTTAAAAGACTTGTAAT